AGATCTTGCGAATCAGCTCCATGTTGTTCAGGAGGGAGTTGAAGGCGTTGAAGTAGGAGAAGCTGACCAAGTGGGAGGTGCTTCCCCCTGCAGCCTGGTGGAAGAAAGGGCAGGAAACATCAGGCACTGCTTCCACTGTAAACACTGGGGCTTTTCTTTCTTACTATATTTAACTCATAGGGAACATAATACGCTATTTTCATTTACACAATTTACTCCTTTCCTTCGACTATATTTTTTATAGCCTGGTGTCGCGTCTTGATACTTTACAGTTTACAGCCCGGTTTAAGAAGTGTGGGATATTACAGTTAGAATCTATTGGCCGACACTCCCTGAGCTAAACATGATCAAGATTAGAAATGCATCAGAGTTAAGTTGAAAATAACCAGCATTATCCCTTAAGGCTGTTAACCCAACACGCAAAGCAGATGATTATTTCCTGTCGAGTAACGGTTTGTTACTCTGTAAAAACTCAAATGAATCAGCTTTTTAAATCAGAGCTTTTTCATCTGAAAAGCCAATCAGGCACAAGTACTCAACGGCCACAGTGAACCATTTACTAAAATCACTCTCTCCCTGCACGCACAAACACTCACGGAGACAAGGTTCTCCTCCACGAAGGGCGTGAGCACGTGGTGTCTGATGGTGGCCATGATGTCACTGAAGTCCATGGCTGAGATGACGCCATTCTTCCCCTTGTCCTTCTGGGCGAACGCCTGCCGCGCATGCTCCAGCTGCAGCTCCTAAAAACACAGCACGACAAGGGAGTGTGTAAACAGGCAAATCTTCACAAAGGCCGATAAGACTTTATTGCGTTTTGTCTTCTTTTCTTATCAGTGTGTGTGTGTGTGTAAAATCAGCACACCTGGAGGAACTGGGTGAACTCGAGGTAGCTGAGGCACTTCTTGCGGTCGTTCCCAAAGTGCAGACGGATGAACTCACACTCCCAGTTGAAGGGAATGTGGTGGTGCACGGTGGTCTGGCTGAAGATGTCCCGGATGTTCTCTGCAGCAACACCCCACATTTAAAAAAAGGAATTACTCTTCCAGACAGATTTTGACAAACAAATGCCAGAACATAAAACTTTGTGTGTGTGACTAGAAAGCAAGTTCAGGTAGGAGGGAAAGAAATAGTGCGGGTAGATTATGTTAATCCGTCCATGTAATGACTTAGACTGAAGAGTAATCTGGTTAACGATGCCATGTCAACAAATTCTCCCTCCACAGTGCGCTGCAGGGAAACTTGTCAAAGGCTGATGACGCAGCACAGAAATACGCCGGGGATGGATTCAGTGCTACTGTTCTTAAAATCTGAGAATTTCCTTTAAAAATATCTTAAAAGAAATCTTCCCAATGTGATAGATATATATATATATATATATCACATGTCTTTTTTTGTGATTCTTTGAAAGCAATTGAACTGAACTCAAAGCACAGGGACAACACATTGTTCCATACCAAAGGAGATGCTTCCGGTTCCGGTCTTGTCAAACAGCTGAAAGGCGACGATGAAGAGGGTGTCGGGCGCACACAACACCGATTCAAACGCTAGAAACTCCTGGAACGAGATCAGCCTGCCATTTTGGTTGTTTATGTGGTGGGAAAGAAAAAAAAATACATATTTTATGTACTGTTAAACACGTCCAAGATTTTGGAATGACGCAATGATCCTCGCAAAGAAAATACATTCTTTGAGAGTATTAAAAATAAAACCGTAAAATGCGTTGGTATTAATTAAAAGGCAAGACAGCAAATCTCTACAGTCCTTTCTTGCAGTTATTCACACGAGTTGAAGTTTCCGGAGCAGAACTACACACAAAGGCACTTAATCAGTAGAATGTGTGCGCAGTTGGAAGTAAGAGTCGTTGGGTTTTTTATCTTATCTTTAAAGGAAATAATGGCAAGTGCCATCAGACATGGCTCAATAAACTGTAAATTAGTAAAGATTATCTGTAAGTAGCAAGCAGTGTGTGTGTGTGTGTGTCAGTACATACCCGTCCTTTGTGGTGTCGGCCACAGCAGCAATGAGCTGTACCGTTTTGGGGTTGTGGTGGATCTGTGTGTGGAGTCCTAAGTACCGCTGGACAAAGTCTCCTGGGGTCATAAACCGCTCCCCATCTCTGTCTGCCACACTGGCATACTGGGGAGGGGGCAGCGAGGGTCAAAAACAACATCAGCACAAATACCGAACCCTGACTTTGAATTTACAACTATAGCAATTGTTCCATATACGCAGTAAAACAACTACAAAATAATGTGGCTGGTTATAATTAAACTACAGAGCAACAGCTCCGTTGAGGGCACCTTTTGCTTAACCTTGAGTTGAATAGCATGACTCAATATTAGCCAAACAGCTGATTAGCGCACAAGCTGAAAGAATTAGCTCTGTGATCAATCTTTTTACTAGTTTTCTTGGGACTCAAGCTCCGTCCGAATAAGCAAGGTCATTGAAAGTTAAGTTGTGTAGTGACATTTGGGAAATACAGAAGGCCGCACTGAGCAGGAACACGTGCACGGATGTTTTTAGCCTGAGCTTGTACGCCATCTGATCCATCAGGGCACCGTAAACTGTTGGCACACAGCGGTCGCACGCTCGCCAGACTGCGGCTCAAAGTGAAGGTTAACCTCGCACGACATCCCACGGTCACGCCGAGTACCCTGTCTTCTCATACTCCAACATCAAACTTTTAGTAAGAAAGGAGTTCGCAATAAATGGTGTGAGCTCTGAAGCAGCACAGGGATCTTTGAACATTCAGGCCATTGCTCGTGCTGCACTAGAAGCGCTCGGATTAAAAAGTAAATTAATAAAGTAACTCAACCTCTGTCTGGAAGAGGCTTCACATGTCATGGTGATTACAGCAGACACAACCACTGCTGTCGACCCAACACACATAAACCACAATAACGCATGAAGCTCTTTAATCTAAAATGTTAGGCAAGCTGATTAACCCCCCAAAAAACACCAAACATTTTCAGCTGTGTTGCGTTTTAATGTAACAAGAGGAGTCTGGGCTGCACCTTTAACCGGGGTTAATGCTGTAATTCAAACCCCATGACAAACCTACAAGCTCATTCCTCAAGTGAGAGCTGCTGTGCAGACAGGGAGCCGCTGCACGAATACAGCAGCAGCCGACTGCATGACGAGGTGTGTCCACGCGTCTGATTGGCATGATGGGTGTTAAGCACACATTTCCACACAGGCGTAATCTGACGTTGACCCAAACAAACATTCGGGCACTGACTTTGTTTGAAAGACTCAAATCTGTGCAAACCGTACCTTCTGGAAGATGGCTTTCAGCTCGCTTGGGTCCCCGCGTTTGGTAGATTGCACCTAAAAAATGAAAACGTTGCATTTATTATGGTGTCGATATTGGTTTTTAACCAGGCGTCGCCGCGGGCATCACACGAACCGAAACTAGCTAAGCTAGCGGCTTTGGGTTACTGTCTCCTTGAACACAGTCCACCGCCGCGAAGGAGAAACGCATTTGTTCATAACGACATACACACACACAATAGACACAATTAACAGCTAAGCGCCTGCGACCGGCTGAGGGTTCTGGTTGAGCGGGTCCGGCCGGCGACCGAAACCGAACTGAACCCGACGTAACAAACGGGCGGCCGGGCTAGGAAGCACCAGATACCCGTATGAAGGAGACGCGACCCGCTAAACGAGAGCCTGGGAGCTGGATGACACGGGAGACGTCGGCTAACGGGTGTTATTTTGTTGTAATTCCGCGTGTTAAAAGAGAAGCGTGGTAGCGGTTTCGCAAAAAACCTCTCGCGGACTTTCGAGGTTGTGGGTCGCTTCATCAAGGCCGGCTGCCGGTTAGCCCGGTGATGCTACGGCCGCGTCAGAGGCAGACGAAACCCGGGCTGGACCAGGAAGCATCGCCTCGGTCATTCTCTCTCTGTCTGTCTGTCTGTCTGTCTCTCTGTCGGTCTCACATACACACGCACACGCGGAAAACGAGCGACAGACGCGCAGCCACGTAAAAAAGAGGTATGAAAATCGCTAAGAGAGAGCGATGCCGAAGTCACCTTGACCGCCATGCTGGTTTTGACGTCACGCACAGTGAGCGGAGGAAGGCGCAGACGTACGTCCTCGAACGCTTCGTGCGACGGGAGCGGCAGTTGGAACAGGACTGCATCCTAGTACCGCGCATGCACCTTCTCTCTCTCTCTCTCTCTCTCTCTCTCTCTCTCTCTCTCTCTCTCTCTCTCTCTCTGCAGCTAATAGAAAGGGTGCTTAACTAGTATTCTATTACTACCAGTGGTGGAAAGGGTAAAGGATATACATACATATACTAGTCATTAGACACTGCTATTGCAGCTGGTCATGGTGGGCCTTTAAAAAAGTAGAAGTAGAAGTATAGGGTCAAATGCAAAAACTCCACACTTTAGGGTTTTAATTTACTTTGGAAAATTACGTTTTTTTAAATGATTTATTTGTATTTAAAACGTTTCTGAGCGCAAAAATAAACATGACATATCTATTTGACCTGCACTATCCAGATGTCAACAGTGTTTGTTGTCATAGATAAGGCAGTGACCTTTTACTGTCTTTACTACCTGCACTGTAGCACTATCCACGTGTTTTGTGACTTTAAAGTCACCTGCTGTAAGAGGGATTGTCCTATATTAGGCTGTTGAACCATGTTTTATTTCATTACATTTTGCTGGTAATACGAATGCAATTTTTCTTTGGAGAAATATTAAACAGTTATTTATTCATTGTGTGCAGTGTTTTTTTACCTATACATTAATTCCTTCACCACTGGACCCTATCATAATAATACAACACACTGCAATAGAAATAGACAAATTATCCCAGAAACGTACAATTGAACAACAAAACAAGAAACAACGATCTGAAACCGTAGTAAGATTAATAAATTAATAGGATAATCGAGAAAAATAATGAACTGGCATAAAAACGAGGCCTTTATATCTCTTAAAATCGCTTGCAGAGTGCACTATCCTTTATATATGTTGTCAACGTAGTCATGCATCACGTGGCTTCCACACCACGTGACCCCTAACGGAAAAAAAACAACATGGCGGCACACTGTTCTCTGGGACTGGCAACAAGATCAGCAGGTACTCAACTAAAACACTGTCTCACACGGACAGCCTCGATAAGCGGCAAGAAGAACAAACGACTTGTTCAATAGAATTATCGAAATACGATAGCAGCACTAATATTGTGTAAATGGCCGTGGCATTGTGTTCTGTTAGCTTGCTAGGTATAAGTTAGCCAAAGTAGGCTAGTCTGTGTATCCAGCCGCAGGTCCGTTTATGGATTGATGTAACGGTGTCAGTGCCACACCACCACTAATTATGTGATCGACCCATGGAAGCCGACAGTTCCCCTGTCACCTAATATTCTCATTACACACTGGATACCGTACTTGGATTTTTCATTGTTTGCCCAGATATCAAATAGTAAAGGGAAAATAAACAGTGACACCAGGTTTTTCAAATGAGTAAATATCCCAATACTAGATTTTTGTGTGTACACGGTTATTCTTACCTAATTATTATTACTGAGAGGAGAGCCCTAGATTATACCAAGCATTGTATGGTCTTTGCGTAATGCCCATATGTCTGATAAGTAATACATTTATTCCCATATGATTTGTGCCTTTATTGGATAGTGAACCAGAGAGATGGAATGCTACATAAGTTTACTGTGTAGACTCAATTTGAACGCTCCATGTAGTTACATATTTGAGAAGGTGCTGATTGGCTGGTACACAGTTCCATTGTTGTTCAGTTGACTAAAAAGAAAGCACCGGTGAGAGAAACCGGTGCTCAATATAAGCATTACCTTTCTAAACAAAATGACGGTACAGGGAGCGCTCTTCTTCGCCCTGATCCTCTCCTTTTCACCAGGACTGGGTGGTTTCCTGCAGAGAGCTCGTTGTTTAAGAAGCTGCGGTCCCCCAACATCCCTACTGCGTCCGCAACATCGGCACTTCTTCTGGAGGAAGTGGAAAAGTTCTCACAATGTAGTTCGCCCAGCTACTGTTAGGCCTGCCTATGCAGTACCCAAGGTACAGTACCTCACGTATTTCTGTCGCTTCTCAGGCAAGTCTGCAAATTATTTTGTGTCAGGTCTTATGTGTGAGCCGACCTTCTTATTCTTTCTTTCCTCTTGTTCCGGGCTGTAGCACATTGTGCGGCCTGACTATGTGAGCACTGGACTGGTCCCAGAATGGCCAGACTACATAGATATCAAAGAAAAAGAGCAGATCGAAGGCCTTGCCAGAGCATGTCAGCTAGCCAGACATGTGCTGCTACTAGCTGGACGCAGTCTGAGGGTAAGCACCCAATCACCCGAAGGGATGTTCATCAAAAACAACATAACAATTCTGACCTGTGACTTCCAGGTTGGCATGACTACGGATGAAATAGACTTCATCGTCCACCAAGAGACGATCAAGAACGATGCCTACCCGTCCCCTCTCCGATACGGGGGTTTCCCCAAGTCGGTCTGTACATCCGTGAACAACGTGGTCTGCCACGGCATTCCTGACAGGTTAATGGGAAGGACATTTACTCATACATGCTTTACTTTTAATGCGAGGGGCCGTTGCATTTTAATAAAATGATCCTAGAAAATAACTCACAAGCTGCATGAATTAAGATGTCCTAATGACACCCCTTAAAGTTTTTTACTATCCAACATTCTCATTTAATTTAATGAGAAAATGTGTCCAAAATGTTGACTGGCACTGTATATTTAAAAGGTAACGGTACGCACAACATTGATGGTGGGATTACCCAAAAGTTGTACAGTTAGGATATGTATGGGATTCTCTGTGAAGGCAGCATTAATTAGTTATGTGCCCGTGTCCCCAGTCGGCAACTTGAAGACGGAGATATCATCAACGTTGATGTCACCGTAAGTCGTTGCAGACACACACACAAATTCAAAGACATCACCGCCAACGCCACCAGTCCCGAGCGATGCCGCTCCCATGGCTGACCTCTGCCTATTCACGGCAGGTGTATTTAGACGGTTACCACGGCGACACTTCAGAAACCTTCTTGATTGGCCAGGTGGATGAGGTCGGGCAGCGACTGGTGGAAACTGCCAGGCGCTGCCGAGACGAGGCTGTCGCCGCCTGCAAGCCGGGTGCACAGCTGTGTCTCATAGGAAACACAGTCAGGTACATGCATGCAAACATACATGTAAAATAAAAAAACATCACCGTTGCCGACTAATGTATTTCTTTGTTCTTCCGGCAGTGAAATCGCCCACGCCAGCGGCTTTCAAGTGTGTCCTTACTTCATTGGACATGGAATAGGTTCTTACTTCCACTGCCATCCAGAGATCTGGCACCATGGTAGGTTTGGGTTCGTGGTCAAGCGCATGCCCGGTTGTGCATCAGCTTTCCGTGGGATCGTTTGCTCTCATTATATTCATACTTCAATAGTCGTTGTATTTCAAACTTTTTGAACTCTGAGATATTGATAGCTTGGTGAGCAGAAGAACATTAGGATACCAAAACCTGAGATGGGGAAATAAAATCCAGTATGAAATCAACCATGTTCCAGCACGCCTTTGTAATTAATGAAGAAATGTCACTTTCTCTCTTCATTTCCAGCTAACGACAATGACATGACCATGGATGAAGGGATGTCTTTCACAATAGGCAAGTTCCGTTTTTCTGTTTTTGCCTGCGCATTGAGACGGCCCTGTGTATGAAGGTGAGGCTGATGTTGTATGTTAATTTGTAGAGCCAATACTGATGGAGGGGTCCCCCGAGTTTAGAATCCTGAGGGATAAGTGGACCGCGGTGTCTGCAGACGATAAAAGGTATGTGGTGAGCAAACAAGAATATCTGGTCTTCACCCCCAACGAAACAGGTATAAACCATAAAACCGCACACAGTTTATTTTACGTTCCTGTTTGTGTGTGGTTTTTAACCTAATGGGGCACAACAGGGACATATTTTGGAATCTCACACTTTCAAGCGACCAAATAAGCCTATTTCTCTACATGTTGAAATGCTCCTATAGAAATGTTACTTGTTCTTTCTGAATTCACATTTATGCAGGTCCGCTCAGTTTGAACACACTGTGGTCATCACATCCGACGGAGTGGAAATCCTCACTAAACTACCAGAGGAGAGCAATCTGTGACCTGATGGAAACAAAGTGGTGTCCACAAGTTCAGCTTTACCTCAAAATACCTGAGATACCAAAACTCACTCATCGACATATTCAAAACGACTATGTCATTCTTACCTCTTAAGTATATTATAAACTGTGAGGTGCTCATACAGAGGAAAACGTGACTGCAGGTGCATCTCATTGCTGAAATAGAGATATATGTACGTCATGAGTGTTCATATTGTCATTTTAGGGGATTCCAATCCAAATATCAGTCCCTTCTTTTGTTAAGCTAACTGCAGCTGACCAGTTTAGCCATTTACATTTTTTTTGAGTGAACATTTTTAGGTTTTTATGATCCTTTATGACATTCTAGGTTTGATTGAATGGAGCCTATGCCAGTTAAACATGACTCATTTTAATCAAGAGAGACTTGTAACAGTTAAATTGGATATAGATAATGAGGTAATTTTTAAATACTTATTTTTGATAATATGCATCTCACTTCGTTTGAACGTTTCATAGACTCTACACTGTAAGGTATTTCTTGCTGTAAGTTATTTTGATTTGCTGTATTATTTTATCGCCCAATGAAATGCTTACTTTATGTAACAATACATACTTTGTAAAGGCGGCTGAAGTTTGGCATGAGACTGCAGTAACTGTCAGTGGAGAAGTGACTTAGTGAATGAGTGTAACCAGCAGATGGCAGCGCAGGTCATTTTCTCTTGACCGTGTTGAGCACAGACTCCACATCCTCCCTCATGTCCCTCATAATGCGCTGCAGCACAACACCGCTCGCCGGAGCAGGTCAAATATGTTTATGGCCCGTAAGCCGACGTGGAAAGTATGTTTACAGTGATCTGAAACTAGGTATCCATGCTTATGTGTCAACCTGTCCTACGTGACAGAGGCTTTTTACACCAGACTTCATTTCCAAAGCACAGATTGATCGAGTGTAGTTTACAAGCTGAACAACAAAATCCGCCCAAGCTGGGAGACGGAAATTCTGCATGGGTGTGTTGGAAATTCCACAAAAGCTTTGAATTCTTTTTTTCTGTTCTTCCGAACTGTATATTTGGTCTACAGGTGGATTTAATAAAGAAGAGGACATGGGATACAATGTCTCACAAAGTTCCTTCAGACCTCCTTTTTGCTTTTTACAGTAACTCACCTGCACATTACCTGAAATTTCTGTTTTCTAGTTAGACCTCTGATGACGGGCTTGTTATTTACATTCATTTGAGATTAAAGGGAACATTATTTGATTAAATTGTCCCTCACAACTCCTTTAAAAATTCTGTCCGCAATGTTGAAATGTTTTTTGTATTAATACACCTTAATGCGTCTCTAACTGTGCATCGTGTAAAGTGAAGCAAAGATGTTTCAGAGAAAGAAATCACAGGCGGAGAAATTGGATTCCTGCCTGCTGGGTGTGTTTTCATTTCCTGCCAATGTATCATGAGTGTGTGCTTGTGTGTCTCTGCCCATGTGTGTGTGTGTGTGTGCAGTGCCAGTTTGTGGGTAGGGCAGGAAGGAGTAGACAACGTGAACGTGGATGAATCAGGAGTCTGGTCATCTCAAGCCAGGAAGTGATTCACATATATGTATTTAATGCAATGCATATGATGATAAAGGTCATTTAAACAGTTATTCAGTCTTCATTAAATTAGAGAGTCAAAGTCAGAATTTAAAACCAGGAAGAAAAACCTCCTTAAATACCGAACTGCAGTGTCGTTCTTGTATCTTGTTGCAGTAATGCAGTAGAGGTTTTGTAAGCACGAAACAGCGAAAGTGAAGATAGAGGAGCAGGGAGGAGCAGGGAGTGACGGGCTGAGGTGTTGGATTGTTGTCACAAATTCCCTCCTGCCTCTCCTTCTTTTCCTGCATGTTGGGACTCATTCCTTCCCTCCTATCAATCCTCGTCTGTTCACCGGTCTTCAGTCTTCAAATAACACATCCATTACTTCTGTAAAACAAGCGCATGTTTTCATTCCCTGTTTGGCTGCTAATTGGCAAGATATCTTCATAAACTGAAAAGTCAGGTCATGAGCCATCAGGCCGTTTTTACGTTCTGGATTTATTGCAAGAAAACTTCACAATTCATTCTGTCAATATTGATATAATCTCTACCAGATTGTCTGTGCCACAGCTGCACCCCTAATGTAATCTAAGTAACCTAATGTATGTGTGAGGACACCTCCGTGTCTCTCTGTGTGTTTTGACAGATTTACTGTCTGCTGTGGTCACTTGTTCTCTGACTGCTGGTCGTGTAGATTAATGTGTTCCCACATTCCAGGGGTGGATACCTACATCACTGTGTGTGAGACGGAGGCTGCGATATATCGCACCGACCTGCTATCTCTCACTGAGGACCTCCGCAGGAATTCTCGCTTTTCTTGGTGGTCTGTCAGATGTTGTAATAAACAGAGTGCGATGTTTTCAGGCTTGTGGAGGCAGGTCTCTCTAACAAACAGGCACAGACTGCATGTACCGAGGAACCATCCCTGCACTTAGTCAGAGAACCCGGAGGCCAAGCAAAAACAGCTGAGATTGCTATATGGGATCAAACATGTAGCTACATTGTTGTCTGGTGAGGAAACACCTTTTTACAGATGTCTTAATTTTGATCGGAAACAACGGCAAATTCACTTTAACAATACAAATAAGTCCTCAGCAGGTCAAGATCATCATCTATACGCCGCGAGACGCATTCTCTTCTTCTTAAAACTTCTAAATGTCCTTTCATTTAGCTTCTTTCTGTTTGTTATTTCATTAAAAACTCATTTCAAGTGGTCGAACTGAGTGCAACACATCTACAGGAATGCTGGGATGCTGCATGTGTGCGCAGTGGTGCTTTGAGTTTAATGCCCATTTTAGCAATGACAATGTTGATGAGCAGGGGAAGTGTGAACCACGTTCACCATCTAGGTTTTGCATCAGACGCTCTTTTTGTGTCCAATCCTATTGTCTGCATTTAAATGTAGTAAGTGCATTATTCTTCAAATGCAACTGTAGTAATAAAAATCCATTCAGCTGCTGTGGAGATATCGTTGTAAAATTGGATGTCGGAAGGAGGTTGTGATTTCAACATAAAACCTTAGACTGAGTGAAAAGAAAAATCTGAGAACATAAAATATATATATATATATAAAAATATATATAATAATAATATTGTGTCACATTAAGATGATATTAACCTGTGGAACATGGAACATATGATCCTGGTCTTGGGATCCTATGTTTCTGTGTTCATTGATGCTTGGGGATGCTTTGGTGTCAAATTAGGCCACATGGAGTCTGTGTGTCAGAAGTTAGAGTTAATGTGCAAGAATGCATCTGTGTGTTTGGCAGAAGAAGTCAGTTGTAAAGTCACCAGACTTTGGCAGGGAGGATTCTCTCTTTATCGACACTTACAAGGCGGGTGCTTTTTTAATTTGACCTCTTGTATTTTTCACTGAGGAATGTTTTTATTTTTGTCTTTTTAACACAGTGGAAAGATAAGGACGCGATCCACCTGTCCCAGTGTGCATCTTTGATTTCTGTGTGTATCTTTGTTCTTGTTCTTCTATGAGTGTGTGTACGTGTGTGTGTGTGTGTGTGTGTGTGTGTGTGTGTGTGTGTGTGTGTCTGTGTGATTTGTATGCATTGCTCGAGGCAGCTCTAAAAGGTCTGTGATAAATAAACTACTAAATAAACCTGTTGTGTTGTTTGCATTCACATAAATACATACTGGTGCTTCCTGCACAATGCCCTTTTCCTGCTGTGCTTGGACCAGAGGAATACTGGTTAAGCAGCTTACAGCAATCCCCTTTGTGTGTTTCACCACAACAAAGATCATGAGCATCGTCATGTGCTGAAAATACTTCCACACGGTATTTGTGATATTAAAGTTAGTGTGCTGTCTTGATGAGAGGACAGAGAAGTAGATCAGCGACAGACACTGAATTTAGCTTCCCTGCTTTGACTATGTTCCTTCATACAGTCAAATATATTTTCAACATGAACTCTGTGTGTGTGTGTGTGTGTGTGTGTGTACGTGAGTAGAGGTCTGAATTAACAATGACTGTCACACAACAATGAATAGGTCTCTTTGGCCTCCAAAGCAAAGCATTATGGGGGAAACAGATTTGTTGTTGTGATAGTTTTGAGTTACGGACGATGGTTATGCATTGGTATGTGCATAGTGTGTGTGTGTGTGTGTGTGTGTGTGTGTGTGTGTGTGTGTGTGTGTGCGTGTGTGCGGGCGCACCTTCCCAAGTGGAGCTATGACTGAAGTGGTAGATTTAGTGGAATCTGTGGCATATACGTAGCATATATTCCCAGCTGATCTCAGTTTAACAAAAAAGCCACGGTGACGGACTGTCAGAGAGACATCAGGATTGCGGTGTTTGTTGAACCCAGAATCCAATGTCAAAGATATTTCAAGGAAAAGTAAAAGAGCATTAATAGAGCAACCTTTTGCTGTAAAGGCGTAGTGGAGTAAAGCTGTTTGCACAATTAAGGGTTGTTAACCTGTTGCCATGTGGAGCCAGATCGATGCTATAAATAAAGTATGGAGAACATTTTAGGGTTGAAGACACAAAATTAAAAATTAAAAAAACAGGAAAGACAATAAAACTCAATGGAATGCTGCACGATCCTGTACAAGTAAAAAAAAAACGTGAGAATCTGTCAGGGGAAAACTGAGCAGAATGAAAGTCGACTTTCGTCCCCCCCTGAGGTCAGCTCACACACCTGGACCCACCAACACAGGGACCACTCCCACAAACCCTGCCATCTCACATTACACACACACACTCACACCTCATTGACTGGAGTCAATAGACTGAGACTCACTATATGCTTGTGTGTGTGTGTCGTTATGATATTAGCGTATACGTTCTACTGAGAGGGTCAATACCATGATAAGAGATACCACATAGGGGGTAATTATACATTTTTGCCTTCTTTCTGTTCTGCAGGACATTCATTGCCATCAACACACTTGATTGGTCTGAGGACATGTGCTCAGAAATGAGGTCAGGAAGTCTCTTTGTTTGTTTGAACTAGTTGACCATTACTGGGTCATTTAGCTTCAGTTATTGAACTTCCTTTTCTTTTCCGCGCGCTGTGAGTTCAGGAATGTACCGGTAGTGTCTTGCTGAAGGAAAGGTATTTGGGGTATCAGGATACCCTCTTGTATCCAGACTTAAGCTTAAGCTAACCTCCAACCTGTACGTATACAGCTCATCCATCCTCTGTGTGTGCTTTGTGTTCTTGTTGAGGGCTCTGTATGTTTTCAGACAACAAAGACTTCATACAGTCTCTAATCTGAATGTGAATGGGCCATAAAGTGATTCAGCAGTGACCTTCTCTGAACAGACTTACAGGCTCACGGAGGAGGGAGCCTTGATTTGTTGCACCAGCGAAAGATCTCCGGTTGGGAGTTCAATATGATTGTGAAACTCTGTGTGTGTGTGTGTGTGTGTGTGTGTGTGTCTTTATGACACTGTAGAAACACTTAGCCTTGGGATACTGATACATGCACAGACACACACACACACACCCTACCACTCAGCTCTGCCACACCCTCAGGTGAGTGTGCGTTGATTTTCCCTGAGTGTACCTGGATATCGAAGAACAAATACAGGAAGGGACCAGGCTCGGGCGGGTCTAGGCGCGGCATTTTAGACGTGTGCATGAATGTGTGCGCCAGAGAACATTTCTTTCAATCTCATTCCTTTACTTCAGCACCCAAGGCGAGGTCCGTGCTCCTCTGCCCGCGTGACACTGAACACGCTGTACACGGAGACTCACACGTGACTCACTTGGTAATCCTGGTTCGAGGTCATTGAAATCATTTGCGGCGTGTCCGTGCGTATGTAACGTTGTATCTGGATTCCTTTTTTTGTTGTTGAAGATGAAGTAAAACTGTGTCAAATAAGCTTAGTCTTTCACTTATATAAATGTATTTAACTAATGATTCATTCGCTCCCGAGTGAGAGTTAATCATCAATGATTCATTAACAAAGGGATCTGGAGGCCATTACAGACGTATGTAACTTACGACTCGCCTGCACTTACACTAAAATGCTAACTGAATGTAAATACAGTACATGTCGAACGTTTGGACGCATTTTCTCATTCAAATCAATGAGAAAGTGTGTCCAAACCTTTGACTGGTACTGTAGATAGAAGTGTGGACAAGATGTTGGTCCTTTACTTCCCTATGGAGGATATTATAGGAGAAGAAGAAAATGAGGGGTAACGTAATTGGCAGGCTGTGGTGTTGAGGACACAATAAAGAATGTTGTTTTTGCGTTTTTGTATTTCAGACAGAGGAAGTGTCATATGTCCATTAATTAGTTGGCTAATGGCGCTCTAACACACCTCACCTCGCTTTACAAACTGTGGTTCTGATCAGTGATAAGGCTGCTTCCTGTGAGAGAACCAAAATTCACCAGTGATTGTCCAGCAGGCTGAAAGCTCTGGACGGGGAAAGATGCCAAAAGAGGCTGATGATCACACGATTAAGGAATTCAACTACTTCCAAATAGGACGTTTAAAGACACATTGATTCAATTCCTTGAGATCAAACACATATGAAAGTGTTGGAGATCCTGAGGACCGGCACATTGAACCACATTCCCCGCCTGTCCTTTCCTCCCTCTCTGCCCCGTTATTTGGGCCTTTTGTGCTGTTTGTGGGCAGTTTATTTTCTCCCGTACCCTTTCCGGCGGCCCTTCTTCTCAATCTGCAGACAAAGCCGGCGTTGTCTGCAGACGCGCTGTGTTGCGGGGGACAGGCTTTGGGTCAGCGTCTCATGGAATGCCTGGAAAAGCATCCAAGCGAGGGGCCGTGTTAACGTGAGGGTCCGTGCCCCGGTCTGGTCCCTGGTGCCTTCTGGCTCTGTGACTCATCCAATGAGTCGTTACAGGAGACACAGGCCCCGTCACGATAGCTTGTCAGAGAGGATCGTAACGTTTGACATTTTTATTCATTTTCAGCCTTCAGCTGGATCGCTGGGTTGGAGAAACCGGCTACATGTTGCAAACATACTGCTTCTATTACTTTGATCTAAATTTTTGTCTTTATCTCAGTCACTGTCCCTCCCTCTCTACATCACATTGGTATTTTTTTTGTCTTTGGTCCAAAGCAAGCAAGGTTACTATTTCTGTCAAAAAGGTTATATTAAATAACACTAGTCTCACTCCCAGACAATTGCCTCCACTTCTACGTGTTACCAGCAAGTCAGTAAACACACGTTACAGTGAGAAAGTAAAGCAAGTGATCAAATAGCACTCTCTTATTTTGCCAATTTGTTCCTTTAGTGGGACTTTGCACAAGTGCAAACTCTGTCAAACTTGGACACTGGCTGCTTTATTATAGTGTTATACTTTATAAATACAAAGAGGCTGCCGAAGCACAACATTATTTCCCCAAATATGTTTCAACAAAGCCTCGAAAAGGTTTATTATTACGGTAACAGACAAGCATAAAAGCACTTCAACAAACCCCGAAAAAAAACCGAAGTCAGGGACAAGGTGTGTGTGTGTGTGTGTGTGTGTGTGTGTGTGTGTGTGTGTGTGTGTGTGTGTGTGCTCGTCCGGTGGGAGGGACACAGTGCAAGTGAAGTACACACCATCCCTCCCCCCCCATGGCCCCCACACCTCCAGCAGTCAGTCGCCCTCTGCCCCACCTCGAGCGAGCACCTCAGCTTCCACCACACGCGAGAACTTTCAGCCCCCGAGTGGATCTCATCATGGAGGTCGGATCCCCGCGCGCGCTGTGGACCGCCGTCTTCCTCCTGGCGTGCGGACGCCTGTCGGCATTCAACCTGGACACCGGGGACGTGGTGCGGAAGGACGGGGAAGCGGGCAGCTTGTTCGGCTTCTCGCTCGCCATGCACCGGCAGCTGCAGCCGGTGGACAAGCGAATGTAAGTCGGCTCTTTTCCGCTGCTCTGCGCGCGTTGCGTGTCCGTGGAATGGCTCCGTACGTACGCGCGCGCGTCTGCCACAGCTGGGACGACGACTGCGCGTTTGCGTTTTTTTTTTTAAAGAGGAATAAATAGGATATGAAAATCACGTGGCTCCAAATGACCTGAATTACTTTGTTTGTTCGGCAATTAGTCCGTTTAGTTCCCCAACAAAGTGCGCTGTCCGGTTCCTTCTGCTCCACGGGAACCCGCAGCACGACCTCCTGTTAATCTTTCCTTCCAGGTGACCTATTGTTCTGTGCGTCTCACTCTTTCTCTCACTCCTTTAGTCTTTGCTGACTTTCTCTCAGCTCGGTCAGGTGACACCGAGCTTTGTCTCTCAGAGACAAAACCTCTCATTAAATCATTGATGGCATGTTTATGGGCTCCCAGGGGCCTCCTTCTGCATAAAGGAGAAGCGCCACCACGTGAACTTGAACCTGCACTGGAATTCTTTTAATCTGTTCCGCTGTAATGGACCAGACACAAATGCATAAACACACGTTTGTCTGTGTCGTGATGGATGGACTAGTAAAAGTAGCAATGCCGCACTGTGAAATGATAACACAATTGGAAATGTGTCATTGGCAAAGTGAGTAACTATCAAAATAATGTACGTAAACTGTGTATTTTAGTATTTTAATGCTGTACTTAGTTGAGGTGGAGCTCATTTTAAAGTCTAAACTGCATATATAGTTTGATCATTTAACCTATAACAAGGCATGATATTGAAAGTTCATCCTAGTTTTTGGTTTAGGTTTATAAACTGCGAATGTTTAAAGAACACTTTCAACACCGGCAACAGTGTGAGAGCAACTATCTGAATCGTATCCTGGTTATGACAGTGTAAACTCTTTCTGCTGCTATTGACTTGCTATTTCAACAACAAATCTTGTAATTGGTCAGTGGATCAAATAGTATTTTGTATTTGTTCAACGCCAAAAGCTCCCCATAGTTTGTACCACTGAACGCTACCAAAACTTATTATGGCCGTTGTTATGAAGTTCCCAACTCTTTGACTTTCTCCACAGAGGTTAAACAAGGTTCTAAGACCCAGGTTAGGTTAAACCCAATGCTAACATGGCAGGGTGGTGTGTACAGATATCGGTGTAGATAATGCATCAGTAGTCGGTGCTGAAACAACACGGTCAGTAGTGAACTTCGATAATCAAACAAATAAGCAACAGTTGTGTCTCTGGGAAATTAAGGTATAAGGTTGTCGGAATACAATAATATTCCACATGGTGTTTGTGAAATAAGTCTCATTTCAGCACGTTCTTGTTCAATGAGCTTGAAGCATCAGCAGCACGTTGTGTTGTATCCCAACACAAATGTGTGTCCGTATACGTTTGTTTGTTTTTGCGAGTGACGCGAAGTGCTCTCCCGGTCCGCTGTGTTTCGCTGTGAGTGGCACGCACATGCGTCGCACGTGCAGCCTGTAGGTGCTTTGTGTGTGTTTGTGCGTGCATGTGTGCCGTTCTGGTGGTGATTCATGCCGTGGCCCGAGCGCTGGGGCGTCGCCTGGTTAGAAGGGCTCAGTGGGTTGGTTTAAACATTCCTAGCCCGAGGCAATAGAAAAGAGATAGAAGGTAATCAAAAAGAGATTGCTAGATCTAACTTAGATTTTAACAACATCAGCTGGGTGTGCACAGTGCGTTGCTGCAATCACTACGACAACTTCTATAACTTGTTGCAATTGAGTCGTACGTGCAGAAGAGCAGGAGCCAATATGATCGTGTAGGAACATGTGCGCGCGTGTCAGTGTGCGCGTAGCATTCCCTGGTCTGTCACAATTGCCAGGTGGAGCTCTTTGTATAATAATATCACGAATGTAGAGGAGGAGACCCAGGGAGAGGTTAGGCAAGTTTTAAGAGAAATGGAAAATGTGTTTTTCTGAGGAATAGAACCTGCTCTGGAGAATCCGTAGATCCCAGAAATCGGTCGGTAAGGAGTTGGGACGACTGTATGGTTCAGTATTCTCAGTCAACTTTGCCTGTGACGGTGCAGGTGTGAGAGTCTCTCTCCCCACCCTTCCCCTCAGGCTAGTTCTGGATATCCAACATCAAAGAGAGAAAATAAAAAATCGGAGGGAGAGACAGTTTAAAGAATGCTGCCGAAACATAAATCAGTAGTCTGAATCACCTGACATGAACCTCTGGATCTGCAACCCATTTGGAGGTCTGGGCGTTTGGGTGCTGCTGGGTGTTGCTAGGCAACGGGTTGTGACCTGGCCGGCAGCCGTAGTGAAAGAAACCCAACAACAAGCCACTTCTCTCAAATGGCTGTTCACTCTGCCTGCGTGTCCGAGTGCAACACACACACACACACACACACAATATCGCAATACACCACGTCAGCATTTCTTCATTTGCATCAAGAGCTGCTCTAACTTTCTGCTGTCCACATTGTTTGGTTAGTCAGTAACGCAATCTTGATATAATGCTATTTGTGTTGGTGGCTTTTACCCCAAAGGAAACAGCTAAATGAGACACGAAATGAGTATCACAGAATTCAGTAATGCAACGGAGCCCGTGGATCCAGTGACCCCATTTCCCAGAGTCCAATGGGTCGTCTTTGACGTGTCTTATTTCAATCAGATGCCCAAACAACTTCACTCATTTTCACTGTGAAAATATATATTTTTTTCTGTTTGGCACAGGAGTCTTGACTGTGTCTTTTAAAAAAGGAGGCAGAGATAAAGGCCCAAATTAGAGTGATCTAGTTTTGGAAAACAAGGTCAAACCAATCCTGTGAGATAAACAGTGTGGGAGCTTGTTTCATTGATAGGACTTGTTCTAATGCATTTTTTAAAAGATACATCTTCATATTTTCTCAATATCCCAGTTAAAGACCATTTTACCGCCCTTATTGCTGCAGCATGACTGTAGACAATGTAAACAGTTTTACCCAGCTTTTTTTTGTCATATAGAACGATTTATTAGTTGTTTGCTTGTCCCCATCATGCCAGCGCAAGTCAATAGTCTATATATAGCGCGAGAGAGAGAGAGAGAGAGAGACAGAGACAGCTCAAAGGAAGACATCCATGGCTTGTTTGGATTTCTCTGTAGGAAACCCAGGAGACTTCAATGCCCAACGTCGAGACTCGGAGGTGCCGTTTGCTCTTGTCCTTCGTTGACAATGGCAGCCTGTGTGTGTGTGTGTGTGTGTGTGTGTGTGTGTGTGTGGTGATATAGAAAGCCTGGTTCAATCATCCACATCCGGCGTTTCAAAGAGGTCTTTGACTGAGCTGGACCGCGAGGACACGCAACATCATGGTGCAGGCGGATGTTTGTGCGTGTGCGAATACGGCTGCTGCGTGACACAGTGGACTGACACGCGTGATGAAATGCCAGAATGCTTCTCACTCTGAGCGCTTGCCCGAGAATAAGTGTCCCAGCGTCAGCTGCTTCCACGGGATGCATTTGGATCGATCCGCGTGTGCTTCAACAGAGTCATTTGTGTGTCCGCCGCAGACTGCTGGTCGGCGCCCCGACAGCCAAAGGATTGGCGGGTCAAAAATCCAAAGTGACGGGGGGACTCTACAACTGTGACGTGACCTCCGCCTCACGTGGTTGCAGCAGAGTGATGTTTGACAACAACGGTGAGATATCGGCTGGCACCGCTGCATGTTTCAAAAATGGTTCAAGCTGTTTCACTCCCCATGACAGTTGAATAACAACGTCCTCTGCGTGTCTCTCTCCCCTCTCGGTTTTAGAGGATACTGGAACTGAAAGCAAAGAAAACCAGTGGATGGGAGTGATAGTCAAAAGTCAGGGCCCAGGAGGCAAGATTCTGGTATGTCTCAGCACAACATTGCCATTCAATTTCTTCATTTTGGTGTTATAAACAGACGCATAGCTGAAGACAATTGGACGACCTAATCGAAAATGAATCAGCCACTATTTTGGTAATCGGTTAACCATTTCAGTCATTTGTGAGGTAGAAGAGACAAAAACGTCTTTTTCAATTTTATGTGATTCTTTTTGTACTTTTGTCTCTATGTAAAGTGTTAGATATTTGGGTTTTAGACTGTGAATTGGATATTTAAAGACATTTAAATGTACCGTTAGATTCGGGGGGAAAAAAGGAAATGAAAATATAACCATCTGGTTCAGCCATTTGGGGAAAAAACTAGTTGCAGTAAAAAGTCGACATGCAATGCTACTCAAGTAAAGCAAGGAAAGAAGGTGTTTGTCAAGTGTCTCACTTTTGTGAGGGTCAAACTGCAGCCCCCCACTTGAAAGGGCAGCTTGCTAAGAAGTGTAGACTGGATTCCACTCAATGACCAAGATTCGGACTTCTTTGCTTTCTTGCTTTTTATTTTTAAAATTGTCCAAGTCAAACCAGGTGAAAAACCTTGAAATACAAACATGAATGTAAGGTCAAAGAAATATAACCCATGAAACCATAATCAATTCACATACCTAACATCACATACTTAATTTATAATCTACTGGAAATTAACCTCAAAATAAGTAGAAAGACAACCCAAATTTAAAGTATCCCAATACTAAATTAAATACATTTTTAAAACACTATTTAATGATGATTTTAACCTTTAAACTTCACCAGATTTTAACTCCGCTGAATACACACAAATCAAGTTTTATCCAATTACTTTTAGCTTGAATACTTTTTAAAACACATTAAATATATGGACATTTGATTTTGCATTTCATGCCATAAGTAGTCAGCCACTCAAAAGCTCACCGGCTCCTTCTTCAGCCTTTGCAAGCTTTATTCCTGCAGTCTCCTCTTTCCAAGCTCTTCAACCTCGCTTTCTCACACTGCTCGCTCTTCACTGTCCTGTGAGTGAGTGACTCCAACCCCCCTGATCGCCAGATCCTCTCCACCTGGTGCATTAAAATCTCCGCCTCCAGCCTGAGAGACGCACCTAAACCTACCTCCCAGCCAGAGAGGGGCTCGGTCTGCAACTCAACTCAACAGTGTTAGTTGTACAATTAATCCGAAAATGAATTTTTAAATGAATCGCTAAATTGTTTCATCTCTACATTACAATCAAATATAGAATGATTGGCAATTTATGGGACCTGTAGCTCAAATGGTGAATCACCGTGGAATCAAAACTCTTAATTGGTCATTTCAACCGAAGCCCTCTACCTTTAATCAACATCACCTGGATTTGACCGTGTGCTTTTGTTTCCGTGGTAGACCTGTGCCCATCGCTACCAGCGGCGGAAAAAGGACGTGGATTCCCGTGACATCATCGGCCGCTGCTACGTGCTGAGTGAGTCCTTGACTATTGATCCAAGGGTGCCAGAAGAGGGGAAAGACTGGCATTTCTGTGCCGGCCGGCCTAAAACCCACGAGATGTTTGGCTCCTGCCAGCAGGGCATGTCTGCCACCTTTGACAAAGACTACCACTACTATATCTTTGGAGCTCCTGGCGCATACAACTGGAAAGGTAGTCTGTCGTCTGTGTGTGTGTGTGTGTGTGTGTTTAATCTATGAAGTATTTACTGTAAGATGATTTAACTGCTTATATCTGTCATTATTAATCCATATCATTAATCCATTTGATCTATGATGTGATGAAGTGATGCTTGCAAGGATTTCTTTCTCTCGTGTGTTCAACATCGCTGCTGATTAGAATTATTGTGTAATGGCCTCTGCATCCCTCTGTGACAAGCGAGATCTCTGCTGGATTAACTGGTCTCTCTCCTCCAGGGGTGGTACGCTTGGAACAAAATAACATGACATTACTTACTATGGGTGTCTATTCCGACGGACCTTTTGAGACCGGAGATGAGAACCTCAAAGACCCTGAGATGGTCCCCGCCCCGCCCAACAGCTTCCTGGGTAAAACGCAGCTCACCCCCGTCACCCCTTCCATCTCCAATCCAACCCCATCGCCTCGTTGGCTCATCATCACAAAGATGCTTATTGTAAGTACCCGACTGACCAGTATTTCCTCGTCTGTTGTGTCCCAGGCTTTTCCTTGGACTCGAGTAAGGCTCTGACCAAGATGGGCCAGCTCACAGTCGTGGCCGGAGCTCCCAGAGCCAATCACAGTGGAGCCGTGGTGCTGCTGAAGAAGGGCGATGACACGACCAAAGCGTTGCTAGAAGAGTTCACCCTGCAAGGGGAGGGGCTGGCCTCGTCGTTCGGCTACGATCTGACCGTGCTGGATCTCAACGGGGACAAGTGAGTTGCGCCCGGCGAATGCGCCCAACCCGTAACTTCTGTTTTTAACCCGAATGACTCAAGCAAACAATGGCCTCGTTTGTTAGGTGGCTGGACATAGTGGTGGGAGCCCCTCAGTACTTTGAGAAGGATGGGGAAATAGGAGGAGCCGTCTACGTCTACGTCAACAAAGCCGGGAAGTGGAACCAAGTCACCCCCATCAGAATAGATGGAACTAAGGACTCCATGTTTGGTCAGGCTGTGGAAAACCTGGGGGACATCAATCAGGATGGTTTCGAGGGTAAGGCTGCAATGTCTTTGTGTCTGCATACCGTGTGCATAGTGCTGTCCGCTGTCCTCCCTTTCTGAAACCATGGTCGGATGAAATATATGTTCCTGCATAACCCCACTGCAAGTCACCAGTGTCGTTCTTCTTGTCAGATTTCGCAGTTGGAGCTCCTTATGAGAATGAAGGCGCAGGGGCTGTATTTGTCTACCATGGAGGAGCCAACGGTCTCCACTCTAAAACAGCCTCACAGGTATGAAATCAACTGCTCAGATAGTTTAACTGCATTTGTGGGTTATGTTTTCGTCAAAGAAATGTCCATGAAAAGGCATCATGGTTGAGCACAAACAACCTTTAAAAAATGAGTTGATGTAAAATGTGTGGCTATTGCCCAGCGTGATGCTACTTTTACACTAAAGTTATGCCAGTTGCTTTTTTGGTCGGACGAACACCACGGTAAGCGTCTTTATTCACACCGCGTGTCTCTTCTGCTTCAGGTTTTGTCCGGCGAGACTTTAGGGGTGAGACAGTTTGGCTACTCGTTGGCAGGAAACATGGACCTGGACAGGAACGCTTACCCCGACTTGGCTGTCGGATCGCTCTCTGACTCCGTCTTTGTCTTCAAGTGAGTGGAGAGGCACGTTGTTCTCGCCGTGCGTCTCTCTTTGTGGTCACAGTCGGCGTTTGCTCACTCGAGTTCTGTTCTCCCCAGAGCCCGTCCAGTAATTAGCATCAAGAAGGAAATCAAGTTCTCGCCGAAGGAAATCGACCTCACCAAAAAGAACTGTGGCAGCGGCGTCTGGTTAGTGTGACTTTTTTGTGTAGGTGTTTTGATAAAGTAACACATATTTCATTACTGCGTCTGATTGTGAATTATTTGTGTCCCCAGCTTGGAGGTTGAGGCCTGCTTCACCTACACTGCCAACCCCAAGGATTACGGTCCCAGTCTGAGTAAGCCGATCCATTTAGTCTTGATTAACGTCTTGACAGTGTTTTTGGGCTTGTCATCGTCGGAGATTCAACTGGAAGAAACCACACACAATGTCATCTTCATTCGTCATTTCTGTATCCTCTTCTGTCTCACGTCCCTGTCTTCGTCCCATCTAGCCGTGGAATACTCCCTCGCGGCAGACGCCGACAAGACGCGTAACAATTTCAAATCCAGGGCCACCTTCAAAGAGCCTTCGGAAAATGGCCACCAGTCCAAAGGGACCATCACCATGGACACCAAAGGAAAGGAAAAGTGCATTAAGCGTCAGCTTGAGATCCAGGTAACGGCTCTCGCTCTGGAAATGTTCTTTCTTTCTCCTCTTCATCAACGTGCATCGTGAGTGGTGAGTAATGTGCCATTCTACAGGAAAATATTCAAGACAAGCTGCACGGGATCCCCATCGACGTGTCCGTGGACATCAAGGGCAGCGGCCGTAAACGCAGGCAGAGCTCATCCTCGGTGACACCTGTCCTCAACGCCAATGAGCCATCGACGATTCGCTCAGAGGTGCTTGTGCATGAAAGCTTGATCATATCGACACGTGGTAGGACTGACGATCCAGTAATCCTCGTTTTGCGCGTGTGAATGCGATTGCAGGTGCAATTCCTGAAGGAGGGATGCGGTAGCGACAATGTTTGCCGAAGCAACTTGAAAGTGATGTATCGGTACGGCTACATGATAACGGACGACACATTCACTCCGTTACAACTGTAAGAGAAGACGCCTTTCTTTCTCACGAGCATCGCGTTTGCTTCCTCCGTCACGTGCGGGCTCATAACTTGTGTGTGTCCGAAGGGAGGGCGACACGCCGGTGATCTCGCTCAGTGAGCAGAAGGACATCGCCTTGGAGGTCAAAGTGTCCAATCTAAATGGAGATGACGCGCACGAAGCCTCTGTGGTCGCCCTCTTCCCGCGCGCCCTTTCCTACTCTGCTTACAGCGTTGCGGATGGCGTGAGTCTTTCCTTCCCAGTAACTGTCGCATTGACACACGCGCACGAACACACATTCCAATGTGGTTCTGATTGGAACTTGTTATTTGTTCCCAAAGGGGCAGGTAACCTGCAAAGCCAATAAAAATGGTTCTCGGGCCGATTGTGAGCTCGGAAACCCCTTCAAACGCAACTCAGAGGTGAGAGAAAATCACCTCTTGGATAATGTCCTCTGCACAAGGTGCACTTATTAATGTTTATGTATTTGTGCATCTAGGCAACCTTCTACATTATTCTGGGTACATCACGCATCTCTCTAGATACTACTGAGTTGGAGATTGATCTTCAGCTAGAAACGTAAGTAAATCTAAGCTTGCATCAATAGTATCAATGAATACATACATGTGTTTCCGACGTGACCTGTTTGTAACCTCTAATCATACAGGACAAGCAATCAAGATAACATTGCCCCCGTTAAAGCAAAGGCAAAGGTGCTCATCACGTTGCAGCTGTCTGTATTAGGGTAAGAAACACACACACACACACACACACACACATCATATCCACTTACACACAGTGTGCACAAATTCATATAGTAACTGCATTTTACTGCCCCACCTCCCCGCAGACAAGCTGAGCCGTCCCAGGTGTACTTTTCAGGAAAGGTCAAAGGTGAGGCAGCCATGAAGCAAGAAAGTGACATTGGCAGCGCCATCACACACAACTTCAGAGTGAGTACAGGACGGGTACTGGACCACAAGAGGCTGGTTCTCATGCATCCCTTTAGTTCACTGAAATGTTCAGTACTCCAGAATTCTGCATGAACTTGTTTTTTGATAAGATAGTGATACAATATCATCTGATGTGGGACACTGATCCTCTCTTGATTGGCAGATAATCAATCTGGGAAAGCGCTTGAAAGACTTTGGCACGGCCACCCTCGACATCCACTGGCCAAAAGAAGTAGCGTCAGGGAAATGGCTTCTGTACCTGATGAATATCAGCTCCACTGGAGTGGACATGGAGTGCTCTCCTAAAACGGCGATCAACCCTCTTAACAAGGTCAGTGAAAACATCACACGTGTTAATCGTTTTCACTTAGTGTCTCATTTTAAATAGCAGTAGAGGTGTGTGGTTATAATTGTAGATTTATTTGAGCCTCTAATTTAATTAAATATCGGAATGTATGTCTTCTTTTTCTGCTTGAAGGAACCAAGTGACACCAGGGTGAGAAGAGCAGCAGGAATCCCCCCAAGAAGTGAAGAAGGCACCATTTCACGTTTACTCGACACAAAGAAATTTAAAACTCTGGTAATACCACACTACCAATGTGCACTGCCAGATGTTATCTATGTTTGTAATCCTTAGTGTGGCAAACAAGTGATCACTGTGAGCTCCTTTCTTTGTCGACAGACCTGTCTCGAAGGGGCCAAATGTGTGACGATAAAGTGCCCCCTACGGGGCTTGGACAGTAATGCCGTCATCACTCTCAAATCTCGCCTCTGGGACAGCACATTCATAGAGGTAACCGTCTGTTTTTATGTCAGCACATTTAAGTTATTGAAACAAAAATCGGGCTGTAGAACTCAATAAACTAAACTAATTACACAAACATGTTTTAGTAGTATTGTTGTGTTCAAAAACAATACTTTATTATTCTGAACTCTTTTTTTTTAATTCAAGGGAAACAAATATTAAGAGAATCTTGATCTCCTGCTTCTCCTTCCCCGTCACACAGGATTACTCCTCGCTGCATCGCGTGGAGGTGATCGTAAAGGCCTCTCTGCATGTCGATACCACATCAAAGAACACAGTACTAACAAATGCTGAGACACAGGTAATACTATGCGATACTATAGTGTACACTACACAGTGTAGTCAAAACTCCAAAGCAGAGCTGCGATTACAGATGTCCCGCCACTGTATTTGCTTTTCCCAGGTGAAGCTGACGGTGTTCCCAGAGAGGGTGGAGGCCCGGTCCGGAGGAGTGCCGTGGTGGATCATCGTGCTGTCCATCCTGTTCGCGCTGCTGCTGTTGGCCCTGTTGGCTTTCCTTCTGTGGAAGGTAGGACTGAGGGACCGATAAAAGCACATACAGCTCATCAACATTCTCATCACTTGACCCAGCGGTCTGCAAAGAACAACTGTCGGCATCCATAGCGGCAAATACACACAATGTCTAACCATTTACCTCTTCTCAGTGCGGAGTCTTTGGGAAAAAGAATAAAGAGGACCCGTCAGAAAGAGAGAAACTCACAGGAAATGCATAATAAACAGCGAGAGGGTAAAATCACACGGCCTGCCATGAATGAGTGAAACTTTCTCTCTCGCTACTTTTTTGCCTAGCGAAGCTTCCTGGTGTTGGGCGGGCAGCGGGCAATTCTCGCACTGTGACATGGATGCTATTATTAAAGCTGACCGGTATGCAGAATATTTTTTCACTCATGATTATGTGTGAATCATCACTGCCTACCTGCATGGCCGGAGGAGATGGGGAGGACGTAAACCATTGGGGCTTATCTGCATCGCTTTGATCACGTCATTAATGCTTTTTTGTTGCTATCACACATGCAGTCACTTGGTCTGAGGCTCCTTTTCCTTTAATGGTGGAAAACACCTGCGAACACGTTTCCTTTCTTCGAGAGGCGTGCAGATGGCTACTTTACGCCTCAATAGATTCACTGAATCTTGGCCTGTCAAACAGATGACATTGAATGTCTCAACCTCCTTTTTCTCTCTGAATGCCTTGAAATAGCATTTTCCCAAACAAATATACTTTGTTTTGCTTTCTTCTCCACAGTCTGTCTTTTTTAAGCGGGACAGAAATGAAGACAAGGTTCCAATTTACAACGCTGTTCGCATCAAGCGGGAGGAGAGGGGAATAAACCCCAGGAATGGACACTGGGAGAACCTGGAAAAGAAGCCCTGGATGACAACCTGGCATGACAAGGAACATTATTCTTAACAGCCAGCGAGAATCCGACACCCCACAGATCATCTGTTGCTTACTAATGAATTCAAAACTTCTGATTTTTCTTGCCTTTTTGCACAGTGTGCACTATAAATATAAAGAAAATAACTGGCAGAACAATGTGTAGGGCAGCTTTCCAAACATTCTGCTTCAGAGGCTGAATTAAGAGTTGTGGAGTGGGAGATGGTTCTGCACATCTGTCTGTTAGAGCTTTGGAAATGGTGTTCTATGTTTACTACATTCAGTGTTGACTGGGGGAGGGAGGGCGTTTGCTAGAGCGTTTGTACATTGTTTTAATGGGTTGCAGAATAGTTTTCTATTTATTATTCATGCCTTCCTGTTTCATGCCTTACAGGCCAAAGAGTCGTGTAATGCATACAGAGGCATCTTTTTTATTTTAACGAATATGTGCCATTTCCTCCCCATGTAAAAGTGGATTTTTTATTACGGTTTATCAATTGTGTATTTTGTGGATAAACTTTACACTTCAGCGGTCAAGCACGCCGTTTTTAAATATAAAACAAAGCTTCTGCAGAATTATTTTTATTCACTGGCTGTAAAAACAATTAGGAGCAAACTTTCTCTTTAATAAAACGTTCAAACACAATCATATGCATGTGTCGTTATTGGAGTCAAAATTAATAAGTTATGGCAACGGGATGAGGTTTAAAAAGTTATTTATTAATACATAAAAGCATTTACAGCAAATACCCAAGTGGTTAAAGCATCACTAATAAATATTAAAACCATTTTAAGGAGAACTTTAGGTTAATTAAAAAAATAAATTAAAAAAACAACAAAATCACTGAGACAATAAATTACAGACGCAGAGTGTGAACTTGCTCATAGTTATTAAGAGTACATGAACGGTTTCCATTGATCAAATAGAAATGGCTTCAAGGGTATTTTGTGCGCATTAAACTGCAAACACGCTGGTGGTGCTTCTCCGACATCACTGCGCTTTCCTTTTATAAGAGCGACTCAGTCCTTACAGTTCTGCTGCCGCCTCTGGTGTCGTTTACGGTCGTCTCCATCATCGTAGCTTTCTCCTCAGCCTCCACACCCGAAAATGTGTTCTTCCTTTCCAGCGTCCTCTCTCCTTTCCTCTGTTCTTTTTCCTGGCTTTTCTTTATCTCCTTCAGCCTCCTCTTGAGGGCGGTCCGATCGCTTTGACTGCAAACGCCCAGAGCCTGACGACAGAGACGCGCCATGTAAACTTGGTATACAGGCTCGGGTTAAAAGGCCCAACGGCCAAAACAGCATGGCGTATTATCTCATGACAAAACGGATCACAATTTACTAAATGACAAATAAAACATTACAGCTCAGATATGTTTGAGGACAGTTCTTTAAATAACCAGCTTCAAGGTGAAGTTTGATCTTAATTAGTTCTGCGTGCAGTAAAAAAGGTCATGTATAAAAAAAAAAAGAAACTCAATAAATAAAAACAAATAAAACGATGAACCCTTATTTAACGTGATCAGTGTACTTGAGTCTACCACGTGATAAATCATTCAAGATTCACCTTGAGTTTCTCACTGTCCATGTTGAGCAGCTGCGTGCCGTCGACACCTCGGGCAGCAAACTCTGACGCGTACTCATCCATGTTCATGGCGATTAACCAAAGTAACACCTGGTGGTTGTCCCACTCCAACACGGGGCGACTTTGCCACTGGTGGATGTTGTTATTATTGGGAACTGGGTCATCGTCCAACGTCTGTCGGGACACCAGAGTAAAATACGCAGGCACAGTGAGGAGAAGTAACGGCAAGAAATGAGGTGATATATAAAAATAAAAAAAAGAGAGCAGGCTTGTGGAGACAGAATAGCCGGACAACGAGAAAGAGAAAAGCAGAAGTGAAGGACAGACTCACCTCGCTGGAGGAAAAAGTGAAAGCGTGAGAGTGTCCGGAGAGGGAGGGATCAGAAACATGACCCACCATGCTGGAGCACTTCGCTGGAGAGCCAATGCTCTGGAACCAAGGAATGAAGAAGAAAACTATGCTGCTTCAAATCGGTTGCATGCTCACACACACACGCGTCTTATTTTTTAAGATACGATTTTTGTGAGCGATATTTACGGACGTGTGTAGATCAGAAAGTTCAGACAGGGCAGGTCAGGATTGCGTGGAGGGAAAGCCGGCCATCTTTTCTTACCTGGCCCCTTCTACCAGCGGTGGTCAGGTACGGCAAGCTGCTGCTGGACACAGAGCGGAGTCTCTCCCTGCCTCGCTCAGCCTCCACTTGCTTTTCTCTCCCTCGCTCTCCAAACCAGGCGAAGGGCAGGCATGAGGGCATGGAGGTTATTGAACCCGACGGAGAGACTTCAGGAGGCCCGTCCACCAGGTCACACGAACCCCTGGCAGAAAACAATGGTTACGTTCAAATCAAAAGCGGGACAATTTCAGTAATTCCATTAAACTTTCAGAAAAAAAAAAAAAAAAATCTCATTTTGCTTTGAGATTCCACCTGTTGCTCAGGGACCTTTTGGAGAGTTTCTCACTTCTCCTTTTGCTAAGAGACTTTCGCAGGCCACTGAAAAGAAGAAGCAGACCAGTTATTAAAAAGCTCCAGGAACAAGTGCCCCGTCTCAGCCGGCTATCGCGGCAAATATTCAAAATGTGCGACAGCCGACAGGAGACACTGGCTTTTAAACCAGGAAAAAGAAGAGACAGAGACCCTGCACCTGAAGTCGGGGAATTTCTTTTTGGACTTTCTGGATGCAGAGGATTTGCACGGAGAGGGAGGGACCCGGTCAGTGGTGTAGTTGGGCGGTGAGAAGACGAGGCTGTTGGGGGGCTGAGGGCCGACGTCCGTGAACGACGACACACTGGACAGGTCACTTCTGCTGCCCCTTTGCGTGGTCGGCGTGGGCGTCGACAGCGTTAGGCTCTCCTCGAGCTTCCGAACTTCGCTTTCCTGAAAGCAACATGTGCGTCGTGAGAGTTACTCAGACACGGTCGGATCGAGTGTCGATCCGTAGCATCTCACAGCGCCGTCGACTACCTTCCTCCTGAAGCTCTCTCGGAGTTTGTCTCGAGAGGGCGGGTGGCGCTTGGACTTCTGGGCCAGTTGAGCTCTGGCTTTGTGAGCGCTGGAGTCTAGAAGTCCCGTATCAGGAAGTGGAATATACCAGTCTGGAACAGAGGCAAAAAAAACACAATTCATTTTTTGCATAGACTTTACAGACATTGTTTTCAAGGATAAGAAAAGCTTTGAATATTCCTCCCTTCTGAATCCTTACACATGAGTCAGAGAGTCAAAGAGACACACAGCGGCATAAGACGTTTACGTTGCCGGTAACTCTGCTGCTTACCTGTGACTGAACCGTCCCCAGAGTGGGTCTTTCTTTCAGGTGTAGCCTCTTTCCTCTCGAGCTGTGCTATCTGTGAAAGGCAGAGGGAGTCAATGACCACAGGGCCGGCCCAGTAAAGGGAATCCATATACGACCGGGCAACCGCCCCTCACCTGGATTTGTAGCCTTTCGACGGTCTCCCTGTGCAGCTTTTCCCTCGCCACCATTTCTCCTCTTAAATCAGCCTCTCTCTTCTCTCGTTCCTCCTCTCTGGGGGCAGAATTGAAACTAGCTCACAAAACAACAAGAACAAAATTCTGCATTGTTGAGATAAATAAACCAGGATTAAATAAATACCTGCTCTGGTATTCTCTGATCAGTCTCTTGGCTTTGTTGTATTTGATCTCCAAGCTTTCTGATTGGTTTTGGGCATCAGCCAGTCGCTGGTTCACAACCCTGCACAGAGTCTGGGCTTCCTGCCAGTACCTGATAAATAAAAAGGGAGGAGGCTTTAACACGCTCATCATTATCATCATCAGTGGTCACAATTAATCCTTTTGCAGGCTTAATGCTCCCATCAGGTCTTTAATCTGGATCTGTAGATGACGTGCGTTTATCCAAAGCGACTTTCATTGCATTTAACGCATCGTGCACAGTGGCAGCCGTGTGCTGCCGTGAGCAGTTGCCACCTCAAACGACATATTCTGTAGTAAAACGATCACAGCTTAACGTCCGAGTCATCTTACTTCTCTAGTTTCTCAGCTTTCTCCTCTCCATCCTCGACTCTTTGTTCCAGCTCAGTCTTTTGCTTCTCCCAACCAATTTGCAGCTCCTTCCAGGCCTTTAACTAGACGGTAAAAGAAAAGATATCAGGCCAAAGGGAAAGTGCTTCCAAAAAAACCCCAAAAACCCCTTTTGTCATTAGATTACACTTGCCAAAACTATTCTTATACGCTTCACTTCAAAAGAGGTATCGATACAAAAAAAAAAAAGAAATGGCTGAACCACCACAGTGGGGTAGACGAAAGACAGACTTTCTGCTCAACGACTTTTGCCAACCCAATTATGTCACAGCGGTGATCACTTCAAGGCAACGGCAGAAAGAGCTGGCTGACGCGTAGAAGTATTGGAACACGGCCCATGTCCCAGTAACTCCCCACCGAGCCATCTCACACACACTTAAATGGGTCAGACTGTTCCAAACGTGGAAGTAAACGTAGTAAAGTGAGGATAGTAATTGGTTGGTGTGTGAGAGTGAGAGATCTCAATCAGATTTGAGTGACCTACCTTTTCTTTAGCATGTTTATGTTGAGCTGCTCTGCGTTGTATTTTTGACTGGAGCTTTAAAAGAAAACAGGGAAATATTTTATTGTACAGAAATTCATAAGAAAGACTAGTTCTACACATCCCTTGTGGGTCAACAACTGTTTTCAGAGTTCTTTCTCGGTGCTATTTTAATACATTATTGACAGAGGGTTTGGTGTATATATATCTGGTTAATGGATGTCAATGAATCAATCCATGTAGAATGAAACGTACCTGCTGGTATTTGAGGCAGAGCTGGTAGTTGTCCAGACTGGAAATGAAAGACATATCCTCCTCTTCATCTGCCTCCTCCTCCTCCTCCTCCACTTCCTCAGCCACTGACTTCCCTGAAAAGCTGCCATCTATATCCTCGTCCCCGCTTGCGCTTCCCCTCTTAATATATATAAAAACACACGCAGAAAACGCCACAATCAACCCACACGGAACTGTTAACACGATTGAATCTCCACTCCTCTTTTGGCAAACACACCTCCCTGGGTGTTCTATCCATCTCCAGGCTTTCGTTGATCAGTCGTGCCACCTCGCTCTCCACTCCCTCCTTCTCTCTCCCGATCAAAAACCTGCGGCCGAACACAGAAATCAGCCCAAGCTGAGAGCAATCACCCCATCCAGGTGAAGCACAGGTGTTGCATATAATGTGAATTAAGACAGGTGTCGTTGATTAAAACATCCGGGATGTTGTTTAAAAAAAAGAAAAGAAAAAAAAAGGGTAGTGTGGCCCTTTAAAAACATCCATCTAGGGTGGAGAATGAATTCTATATTCATCTCGCCACCGTTTCATCTTTAAATAACTTCAAATTACATAAACGTTTAGAAGTTGGACTCAGTCAGAGCTTTTTATAAACTCACAAATAAAATCCACTGCAATACTTAGAAATCACTAATATGGAAGGATGTCACGCTCGGCCGATATCCACGTAAACACATAGGGCGAAAGGTACGGAAACTCGTGGACTTACTTGACGAGGCCCGATGTGTTCTTGAGGACGGTGGCTGCAAACAACTGGGAGACTCCAACCAAACTCACCCCATCCACCTCCACTATTTGATCATTCACCTGAATCCTAACACACACACACAAACACACAAAGAAAGAAAATTCCATTATTAGAGGCAAACTATTCCCAGAGAACGAGAGCCTGGTGTTGAAATCTACCTTCCATCCTTCTGTGTTGCTCCTCTTTCAGTGACGGTCTTGACAAAGATTCCGAGTTTTTCCAGTCCCTGGTCGGCTCCTACACCCATTCCTATTATACTAATGCCCAGACCCTCATCTCCTGGAAGGGAAATAAATCATACAAGGAGGAAGTTGTCCTCATAATAACACAGTTAGTTAGTGGAAGACTGTAGCACCATATAAAGAACAGTTTAAATAATGTAAAATTATAAAAGGGCAGTTTTGCAACCCATTATGTGTCAGTGTTGTAGAATCGTTTTGTGGAATGTTTAAACTAATCCATTAATGCCACCAGATATACACAGTTACATTATTTAATAATTTCCTGATATATAAAAAAACAAACACAGGCACACACACCTTTCTCTATGTCCACTGGAAAGACAGCCATCCTTTCCACCCTCTTCTCCAGCTCGTACTCGGCTGAGGACGACACCGGGTCGACGTCTTCATTGCGTCGGTCGTACTCGGCGTTGGAATAAGTGCTGTACACCTAAAAGACCGCGTTCAAGTCACTGTGACCGCCTCGGCTTATGTCAAAACCGGCTTATGTCTAAATGCAGGCCGAATGACACCTCCGTTTTGTGCGTTGAGAGCTTGTACATGTGGTCCCCACTGAGGAGACTGGAAGGAGAGCCATCTGCGGCTATTGACATAAGAAGACGCGGTTTATGTTGGCAAATCTGCCAGAGTGCGAGACGGAGAGAACCGGGACGTGAAGACGAAACAAACTGTACCTCCATGATAATAGGATTTTAATAGAGAAGAAAATCCTTGCCTACCCTCCCGTCTGATTAATTAGATACATGGCCTGGGGATTACTCTTCTCTTGGATTGATCGAAACACCAGAAGGAACCGACGGTTACACACATAAATAGCGTAAAAGTGACACCGGCAGCTGTCAATTAAACAAATGATAAATTGAAACAAGCCTGAATTTGCGCAACTCAAACAAAAAAAAAGGTTTCCCATACCTTGATTGGTGCTGAGGTGAACCGGACTCTTCTCCTCTGCTGTTCTTTTGCGGCATCCTCAACACGCTCTTCCTTATTCTCATTCTCCTCCTCGTCATCCAGTTCAAGCAAACCAGGAATTTCCTCATATTGCAAAGAACGCTGATTATCATGTATGGAGTTCCCACTTTCCTGGGGATCCTGCTCAAGAGCAAAAGCCTCGTTCTCAATCCCACCGATAGCCGCCGGTCCCGTGTGGTCCTCTACGCCTCCTCCCTGAGCAGCTTTTCCATCGCCACCACCTTTTCCGCCCTCCTCACGCCTGACCTCATCTTGCAGTCCAGATGTTTCTTTCTCGGTTTCGACTGTCTCTGGTCTGCATCTCTCAACTGGCAGGTCGTCGTCTTCCTCTCGCATTTTCCCTCTCTCAGCCCTTCCAGGACTTTCGACCTCTCCTGCAACAGTCTTTTTCTCCCCTTTGTCCCGGTTTTCACCGAACAAGAACTGTCTGTCTTTTCCGTCGCCGCCCCATTCCTCCTTCACCTGCTGGTACTCGTCTCTTCCAACTTCACTGTCGTCTTCGGTCTCGCTGGTTAATGACTCCTTCTGGTGTTCATCTGAGGGAACAACTGACCCACCTTCTCTCATGCTCAGTTCCACGCCGTTTTCCGACACGTGGGGTCCAAAGGACATGCACCAACTTGCAGTTTCTGCTGCAAATTGGTGCATGTCCTTTCCCCCCCCATCCTTAGGGCAGGTTCTTCCCTCTTGCTGCGCCTTTTCTTCCTCATTTTCGTCACTTTCTGATGACCCGTACTTTACGTCAACTAGTTCCGCCCTGACTGGCTCCTCGGGGGTCAAGTAGAAGTCACGAGCTGCGCTCGCCGTCCTTTTTTCCTCAGTTTGTGCTCCCAAGGCTCGACCAGGTTTGTCAAGATAGGATCGCGATCTGTTGGGCGAGTCACCAGGACCATCCGGTACGGGAGATCTATGGGGACTTGTCGTCAAGTGAACATTTACGATGGGTACATTTATGGATTTGTCTATATCAAAGCTATACTCTCCTGTGCGTTTACTTTTCTCACCCTCGTCTTCCTCTTTTTCCATCTCTTCCCCTTCTCCTTTCCCACCTGCAGTCGCTTTGCTTCCCCTGGCAGCGATACCTTTTGAAACCTGCCCGCCACAACTTCCGACATCCATCCCCTGGGTCTCAAACAACCTGCGCGTTACAGAGAACTTCTGAGCCAGAGCAGCTCTGTCAATATTCACCACATCTCCCGATCTGGAAGATTTAGCTTGCAGAGAAGATCCTGGAGTTGAAGTGTTGGCCGCAGCGCTCAGAAACGCCAAGGGATTGACGACTGGCCGCCTGGTTGCAGAGAAAACTGAAGTTTGGAGGTGCAGAAGGGGATTATGGGGAGAAGGGAAGGCTGTGGAGCCCGAACTCTGCACAGGACCAACATCTTTTTTCAGCTGTTGGTTGTCCATTTGCAGGAAGATGTTATCTCTGATCTTGGTTCCTCTGGTGCTGAGGACTCTCCCTCTGCTGCCCGTGCTCGCCATGGCGCTGGTGTGGGACATTACGGGATCTGACTGACTGGAAAGCAGCCTGGTTGAGGCAGTTTTAGTTCCCGACTGTAGGCTCGTTGCAGGGTCAAATGAACATTTGATGGCATGGAAGTCCGACTTATAGGTTATCCTGTGAGGGGAGGCGCTTCGGCCTTTGCTGTCTGCCCGCATCATCTGCGAAAGAAGCTCCTCCGGAGTGAAGGGAAAACTCAAAAAGAAGAAGAAAGAAGTTTTTCACAGCTACAAGCAGCTAAAAGCTAAAATGTTCAGCACATGTTCAGGGATTTGCTGAAACCGTGGAAAAGTAGCAAATATGCTTTGGATGTTGGTTTTAAGAGGTTATGCTGCATTTGTTAGAAGACATGTGACAGAGGCAGGCCCTTGGTATGGAAACTTCATTGACATCAGTGGAGCTTCAGATGTCGAAACACCATCACCACAGCCAGACCTGAAAGAGTGGTTCGGAGAAAGGTCAAATGCAACACATTCAATGAGGTGAACTGGCACTAAAAAGCATGAAAGCTAATTACTTCCTTGACAAACTGAAAATCAAGTGGCTTAGACTTAACTTAGCAGCTGTCAATTATATAATTAAATCAGACTCACGAAATTGGAGGTAAAAGGGCTCAAAGCACCGTCGAAAAAATCAAACACCAATGGTTTCACTCAGGATTTCTTGCCACCTCACAGCTACTTGCAATTAACTTGTTTGGACTTTGGAGCACCGAGGAAGTGCTGCGGGTAGCCGCTGCTTTCGCGTGCGGTCGGGAAATGAGCGCACGCAGCGGCTACACGGGCGCGTGTCCAGTAGATTGCAGGGAAACACGCGCATTTAACGACAGGCGTTTTGATTGAGACCTTCACCGTCTTAACTTTGTGCGTGGAATAAAGAACCGGAGCGAGGACGTGCACGTTTTTCCGTTTTGCTTAACTTAACTTAACCAACCTGCTACAATGATTAACGTTACTCAACCTCACTTTGATCACAGTTTTTTTTCTTCTCTTCTCATCGTTGTTACGTATGGAAACCCCGAGACATATAACGGCGATATTTTTGTAGCATTAACCTTGCGTGCGATTTTCAAAATCGATCGCAACGACGGTTTACGACAGCAGTTGAAGGCACCGCATCTCGAGTCCAAAAGGTCGCACCGAACGAACGCCGGGGGTCGCCCCGAAGTGTGCGAACGAACCTGCGGGTCAGTTTGACAACGATCCGCTGCGCGACGTCGGGATCCGCGTAGCGTTTTGTCGCGCACTGTTCCCCGGAGTGTCCGCGCGGGGCCAGCCGGTGCTGACGGCTCCCTCGCTGTGATAAATACAGACAGATGGAGACTCATGTCTCTAAATACGGTAAATGGATTATCCCCTGGTAATCCCGTGTAAACTACTCTAGTAACTGCACAACACTGACGGTGAGCGGCTACCACGTCAGCCTGCGTATGTGCCCATTTATTTACCTTCTGCAGGAAGTCTCCACATTGTTGACATCATCCACTGTGCGTATAAGCTCCCATCGGTGTGTCCTGCGCTGCTGCACAGCGTGCAGGTTACTGCTAACATGCACTTACCTTTACCTGTCTGTCAGCATCACTGGCATCTGCCATGTAAACCGATCCCAGCCTGATAGAAGTCTGTGTGCGCACTCACCTGTCTGCATGGAGCGGTGCAGTACCCGTCTCCCAGATCTCACCCTGTCACCCTGTGTGTGTGTGTGTGTTTGTGTATGTGAGAACAGTGATGCAGCACCTGCTGTTGTGGTGTGTGTGTGTGTGTGTGTGTGTGTGTGTGCTCCTACCTACCTGTGCATGATGCCAGCGGGGGAGTCGGTGCAGTACCTATGCCGGTCTGTGACGCTGGCTTTTGTGGCAGATGGGGACTGGACTGGACTCCACTGGACTGGACTGATCCGTGCAGAGCCAAAAGAATGGTTCTCCGTGGTGTGACCTGGATCTGACTGGAGACCATTGTCCCAGGTGGCGTTGGGACCTAGTTGATATAAATACTGGCCAATCACACAAGCCTTCTTCTGAACGAGGCTAACCAGAGGAGGGAGGGAAAGGAGGAAAAGTGAATTGAAGTTGATATTGGAAAATGAGGGGGGGCGGTGAGTGGCAGTCAATTTTGAGTTATTGGAAAGATGGTGAGTTAGGCAGAGTGGAGTGAGGCAGACATGTAACCTAGATTGGCGGGATCAGGGAAAGAGACGGGCAATCGTATGAAGTGAGAGGTATACAAGCGAAGAGAGCAATGAATTGAAGCTGCAATGTCCCCTCTATTTCAATCAGCTGGGGTATTTATAATTAATCGGGGATAAATTGAGAAATAAAGTTCTTTGTGTGCTGTCATAATCCTCAACTCCCATTTCTTTGCCAGCAGCAGCAGCAGCAGCAGGTCACCTTGACTTCTTCACTTCATGTTTTTTTTTTTTTGATTCCTCAAACTCCCGCAGCTCATGATGACAGTCTACACACACGCAGAGTATTCACAACACACGCTGTTTCTCGCTTTGTGGAGGGTTACTGCGTTGAGCCGGGGGGTTATGATGATGATTATTATCAGGTGACGGGATGGTGGGTGTGCTTATAGAAAGGAACCTCCTTTCACCTTGAACTAATCAACATCTTTTAATGAATGCAAATCAAAACAAATCCGGCCACATGGTTTCTACCAACTAGTGCAGGTTTCAATCGTCTATTTCATGTAGTACGCAATATCATTTTGAATCATGCGTTTAATGAGCTGCCGCTACTCTAGCACTGTTGATTTAAAGAGTGGTGGTAGTGACAAAGGCTTTCTCTAGACTGAAGCTGATGTTGTGTGTGGGTGTGTGTGTGTGTGTGTGTGTATGTGTGTGTCATGTAGGCTGCATTACAGACTGTAATTCTCCGCATGGTATCTGTTCTGTCGACCATATTTACAGTCTCCCAGCTTCACAGGGGAATTGCCCTCAATCCTCTGAACAAAATGCACACACACACACACACACACACACACACACACACACACACACACACACACACACACACACACACATTAAACACTTCCAAACACTCTCTAGCTAAGATGAACACACAAGTCAGCAGTTTAAATGAGCATCTATGCACAGTTTACATGCTGCTGTGAGTCAGTCGTGTCCCTTAAACAACACCATTTATAGCCCAAGCGTTGCTGCATCCACAAACAATGACACTGCCTCTTTGTGTCTGAATGTGTGTACTGCACATGTGTTATTCTAACAACGTGAGCAAACCATGACGCAATTCTGTGTTGATGAACATGCACATCTTTCCACTAACATTGATGGAATTATGAATTAAACTCTCACCAGTCAAACATGATAAAAACTGATCTTCATCATGTGTTTATGTGCTTTTGGATGTTTTTTTTTTTTTTTTTCTAATCCTGCAGGATCCTGAGATGTAAATACAATTGAGTTTTTTTTATTATCTTGCGCAGCAGACAAATGTTTTTGTTGAAATTAAAGAATGATTTGAGAATAAACCCAAACCTTTAACAAATGTAATTTAAATGGATTGGATCCCTGCATGGAAATATTCTGCAAAATACATTATGATGATCAATGAAAAAGACTTTTACTTTTCTCTAAAACATTTTGAAGTAGCCTCTTAAAAACAGAATGTGGCTAATTCTGAGACAGCTGGGGCTGAGCCACACACACACACACACACACACACACACACACACACACACACACACACACACACACACACACACACATTCATACCCACACACACATGCACACTTTAACAATATGGTGAAAACATGCTCAATCACCCTCCAGCATTACAGTCATGCGTGCTGAAGCGCTGTTTCAAACAGATGCAGTAAGGCCAGTGTGTGCAGCCACACACACACACACACACACACACACACACACACACACACACACACACACACACACACACACACACACACACACAGTTGCAACAGGCCCACATTTACACATTGTAATTCACCTGAAGCAGCACAAGTAGCGGCTTTTACAATGTCCACCTGCAAGAGGCGGGCGACAAGGAGAGGGTTTGCTGGAGGAGTGTGAGAAGCGGCAATTCTCCCACCACAATCTTTGTCCTCCTCTTTCTATCTGAGCTTTTTCACAGACACTGAACGCAGAGAAAATCCCTAAATGCATTACTGAACTTTTCACGTACTTGATGCACGGGATGTAAGTTATGTTTTCAGGCGATGTTTTGTGCTCAAAACCTCCCTGCACCCCCTTCCCCCACTCACTCCCTTCACTGCGGTGGCTGCAGTCCTCCTGGTGACAAGCTGCGCTAGTCTCTCTCATCCTCTGCGTTCTTACTGTTCAGACATCGTTTCACATGAGGCATCCTTCAAGGCCACAGCAGCTACATCTCGCAAAGACCTTTACTTAGCCGGACAAACGTACGGAAGCAACGTTCACACGACACTTCTTCATGCTGTAGTGTCCTTGACTCAACTGACAATGCTCTGATTTGCCCCTTAGTCGTCTTTTTAAAACAATAGTTGGGTCTTTTCAGGATTTATATCCTTCCTTTTGCTCATATTGGATGCCACTTCCATGGGCCACGCTATCCGTCAGTGCCTTGTAAGATGAGTGGCATTCTATTGAAATGAAGCAACAGAGATCTCCTCACGCTGCATTGCACTGGTGTCTTTAGGGGGCCGAAGCTTTTCTTGTGCCCTGCTCATATGAAGGCTGCTGCTCAGAATTATTTTTTTAAACAAATTTTGCAACATAGCAATAAACAACACACTCCCCCATTAGCAACAAACATTGTAGGCGGAAGAAGAATAGTGTTGTTGATGATGCTATGGGTGTAACTGTAAAACAAAGAAAATCTCATCTCTTTCATTTTCATTTAGTTTATTTTCTTATTTTTAAGCATCACACAAGCTCAATTGTTTGCATCCTGTAAGTCAAAGTCAGTTCCCTGTTCCTCCTTTTCGATGACACGTGTTGATAAAGACAACCTGTTGTGTCACTCGGCAAAGTCAGTGTAATCTCACACAGTGACAATATTTTGCTGTCTTGACCACCACAAGACTACTCTTTGGTCTGTGGGAATTGGGAGAAGATTTGGGAATCCACATCCTATTCCCCCAAAATTGCAACATGCAATCTGCAATTTGCTTTGTGAGATATTTACCTCGGCCGTGAATTTAAAGATTTTTAAATCAAATGCAAATCATATGGCATGAGCATGCCAGGACCCTGTTAGACTGAACATTTATTTGTAAATTGCAAGAGACAATCATATGTGAAACAAGTCACTGTCAGCATGCAACAACTGCAAAAAAAAAATTACATTTGTGAAACAAGTCGCTTGTTGGAAAATGAATGTTTTGATTGTTTAGATTTAGCACTGTGATCTTTTTCTGCTGAACTATTAGAGTAACCCAGGTCGACAGGGGCCTTTGTGGTGTCCTTTGCATATGACCTTTGAAGGCACAGTTTCCTCATCAAGTATTCCAATTTTTAATAAATACATTAGAGTTTCCTGGTATAGCTTAACCAATGCAGTTGTATTTCCTATTCTTATAATGCCCCATCGGTCTAAATGACATGTCAACATATTCCATCCTTATTTGAATTGCTCCACCAGGGAGTTATCATCTCTCCAAGTGCTGCAGCGTATGTCATCTTCATTTGTCAAAGCTCCACAGTTGCCCTCCGAAATGCCACCAATGCAGACTGACACGAGTGATCCGAGTGGCGCGATGAAGGCAGCGGCAGCAACAGCAGCCGGAGGAGGAGGAGGATGAGGATGAGGGAGGGTGGGGGGCGGCACGTTCACTTAACGACCACCGACGAGCGGGGAGCTCTCCCTCCGCTTAGCATCGCGCCGCTGTCGTCGACACACGGCCGGGGAAGATGGTCGCGGTGCAGACGTCCCTCAGCTCGTCTCCGTTGGCGGAGTGGATCCGCTGTCTGGATAAGAGGTGCGTGAATGCGACACCACACGAGACCATTTCTCCACGCGCGCGCACAGCGATGACTATGTAGTTTTTTTTGTTCTTCTTTCTCTTTCATTCATCCGCGTCAACGTGGATCAGTTCCGAAAACCGGCATGTGCGCGTGCAGTAACAGCGGCGTGGCCTTTGTTTTTTTTTTGGGGGGGGGGGGTTGTTTGTTAACCCGGTCCTTTAGGTTGCTGTCATTTCGCAGGAGAAACAAAACAGAAAACAGCACCCGGACAGAGATGGGCTCGGCTGCAGCGCCCGAACCACGCACGCCCTCCCTGCCGGATCCGCGCGGTCAGAAAGGCGTTGGTGGCCTCGAGGTGCACCGGGATGTCTCCGGTGGACGCCCGGTTAGACGCACATGGCTGATATCTTTCTGCGTAAAATGAGTCAAAAAGATGCCCCCGTGCGTGTTGGGGATTTTCACAGAAATGAGGAATAGTGGCATCTTCTTTTTCCCGTTTTCGACACGTTGCTGCATGTGAGGGTGTATTTGTCTGATCTTATTGAGCAGGTTAGAATAATCAAACAGCCATTTATTGACAACTCTACTCAATCTAGAAGCTGCAGTGTTTCCAAACCCTTTTAGTCTGTTACTGTTTCTATCTATTCTAACATAAAACGCGTGTGTGCCCAAAAAGCATGAAGGGCTTAGATAAATGAAGAGGAAGGTCAGCCATACATTAATTACTTTAGATGATGCATCTCACACCTAAAACTGACAATCAAACGTAAGACATGACCCCACAGCTCACACCCACACAGACACACCTCACTATGACACATCCCCACG